GCTCTTTCATTTGGACTGTGGCCTATAGATGTGGCTTTGGCACTTGTCTTGGTGGTGTTACTCCTCTGGCTGTGGCCACTACACTATGCAAGGGCTGACTGACGATGGGAATGAGCGGGACAGACTGGGTATCATACATTGGGAAGTGGTGATGAAATGTGGCACTCAAACTGAAGCCTATCTACCTTCTATGAAGTCATCTAAACTAAAAAAAATTTTTTTTTTTAAAAGTAAAGGACAAACAAAATATGTCTGAGGGCCAGTTGGAGTACCTTGCTTTCAGCTTCAGTTTCAGTGCCTTGTACCAACTATATCCACAGGCCTTATTCAATAAGGAGAGCATCTGAATTATGGACCTGAGGCATGTTGCCAAAGAAAGTTTCAATTCTATTCATTGATTTATATGAGCTAAAGCAGAAAATTGAAGAAGTGCATTTTAGAAACCTAATCACAATACATTTTGCAGCAGAGAGAACACAGTAGAAGCTCTGCCCTCATTTATTATCTGGTTAGCTAGAATTCTCTGTTGTCCAATTATCCAAGTGAATTCAGATGTCACAGTGTATAGGTCATTAAAAACTGCGAAAACTAGTCCTGGCTGGGTGGCTTAGTTGCTGGAGCATCGTCCCATACACCAAAAGGTTGTGGGTTCTATTCCCTCTCAGGGCACATACCTAGGTTGTAGGTTTGATCCCCCATTGGACACTTACAGGAGGCAACTGGTCAATGTTTCTGTCTCTCTCTCTCTCTCTCCCTCCTCTCTCTCTAAAATCAATAAAAACATATTTAATCCTTGGGTGAGGATTAAAAAATTTGGGAAAACTAGGACCTCTCAGTACTGGAGGTGCTGTTATATATACACATTCAAACATTTAATACTGGGACCCATGGTGAGAAATACATTTATGTCATTTTTGAGCAGAATCACACACACACACACACACACACACACACACACAGACACACACACCAGAAACCCAAAATAGTATTTGAAGAAACAGTATCTTACCATATGCCCAAACTGATGTTTTCCAACCTGTTCCATTTTTATTAAAATAATGGTCATGAATTGCCAAGTTTATTTTATAATCTAGTAGACCACAACGTTTAGTTTAAAAAAATCATGAGACAAGGTGATTGATGCTAACACATTTTTATTTATTCATTAAATTTATTAATTAAATAGATATTTACTCAATTTCTAATGAGTGTGAGGTGGACATGGACAAAACATGGATTCTTGTCACCAAGGAGTCCAAAATCTAATGGGAAAGACATGCATGAAAATGCCTAAAAACTCAAGGCAGAACAGTCACTTCACATTTTACATGACACTTTTTTATTATTATACATCATAATGATAATCTTTTAAGTAGGCAGGACAGAATTTAGCCTAATTTTACAGATAGGAAAGTGTGTTTTTGAAAAAATGACTTACCCATACAAAAATAATAGAACAACAGTGACAATAGCATTTGTTAAGCATTTACTATATTTAATTTTCACTACAACGTTACTTGTATGGTGCTATTATTACACGCATTTTACAGAGGAGGAAAGTGAGACAGAGAGGTCAAGTATCGTGCCCAGGTCATAGAGAGTTAAGATTCTGAGGAACTAGGATTCAATCCTAGGAAATATGGTTCCAGAACCTCAATGGTAAGCAATGTATTATAGTTCTTGGAAATCAGAAAGCAAAGATCATAATCCCTGATGGGTTGTGTCATCTATTTGTCTTCTCCTACCCCCACCACAAAAGTAGTGTGACATCTGCTGAGATGAGAGCATTTTGGGGGTGGAGGAGACGGGGAGAAACAGAGCTCTGCCTCCTGAATAGTCCTCAGTGTGGAAAATCTTCACCAAGTTAATGAAAGTGACTGAAGTCAGCAATAAAAAGGCGAAGGGAAAGAATGCTCTCCCCCCCGAAGAGGGCGTCTAATCCTTTGACTCTGCCCCATGCGTCATGTGGTATTCTTGAGATAAGGTGATTATGGAGCAATCTCAATCTGGGAAAAACAGGAGAGTTTATCTCCAAATGTTCACCTTGGGTTTTACCAGTGCCATCTCCCTTCCTTAAATGCAAGTTCTCATTCAGAATCACACAGAGAAGTTTCCATTAGTATCATCCTGGAAACAGTAATATGTAGCCTTTGTTGAGCTCCTCCCATTGGAGAAACTAGGACTGTCAAACACTGAGGGTAGAGCTGTGTCCAAGCCATATCAATAATACTAATACTAGAGGATATTAATTACTTTATATGTGTTAGGTACTTTTATTATGCTCTGCTTTATAGAGTAGTGTTGAGATTGGTATATATTCCTGTGTCAACTAGTATACCCATACTGGTTTTTAGAATGTTGTAAATGAATCCAGCTATTGTTTTTCCTGCCCCAGTATGTTCTTTTAAAAGATTATCTATATTTTTAAAAATATTTTTTTATTGATTTTAGAGAGAGAGGAAGGGAGAGGGAAAGAGAGATACCCCACTGATGAGAGAGAAACATCCGTCGTCTGCCTCCTGCATGCCCTGTACTGGGGATTGAGCCAGAAACCTGGGCATGTGCCCTGACCTGAGCATAGGACTATGCTCAACCAACGAGCCACACCAGCTGGCCTGATATGCTCATTATATCTCTAATTTTGTAGGGTTACTAAGAGTTATTATAATTGACTTTGTTAATATTAAATTAAGAGTAAAGTTAAAAATAAAGTGATCCCTGTAGCCATTCATGTTTTTTCCTTAAATTTGCAAACTGGGGAGATAGTTATTCAAAAATATGTTTCACCTAAATATATTCCAGCAATATGTCTGCAACTCTGAAAAACAGTTCAGCAAAAATAACTGAGAGTGCTCTTTTTGAAAATAATAATTTTCACTTTTCAAAAATGATCTTCTCTAAATTCTCTTAATCCAGTGATTATAAATCCAGAATTTGTCAAGGCACATGATGAACTCTGGGTATTTATTCTCCCTGCAGATCAGTAATGAATTAAATGAGAAGGAAATGTGCAGAAAAAGATAAATTAATATGTAATTGGAAAAGATTTATTTACTAGACTTTACAGAGTATTCTGTCAAGTAACTAAATAGCTTAATCTGACAGATTTGAAAAATTGGAAGTATAAAATTTGTGTTTAAAATTTTATTACAATTTTAACCGTCACCACTCAAGTTGTTTGATGTTGTAAATGAGCATTAACTTACGTGGGATTCAGGTCAGATCATACCTTCACCAGGTAATGCAGTTAGGAAAGCAGCTGTCCAGGGGCTAAAGGATCCATAAGACAGCATTTTAGAAAACTGAATTTATTTGGGCGACACTAATGAACAAAATTATACAGATTTCAGGTGCACAATTCTACTACACAATCTAGGCTCTCTACTGACTCACCCTCTTCCCACAAGGATTTGCATTTGCATTTGTTTCCTTGAACAGAAAACGTCTCCCAACCCGATTATTTTATGTAGACCTATGTAGAGCTCGAGTTTCCAGGATACTCTTTGGATCCCAAATGATTTGGACTGAAGTCTCTTGGAATGTATAGTTTGATTTTGTGTCCTTAGGATACCAAAATCATAATAACCAGAGAAAGCCAGGAAAGGAGAGAAGGCAAAACTAGCTTTGTGTGTAGATTTAAGAAAATTTTACACACATGTACCTTTTTCGTGTTGTTTTGGTGATGAAACTCTGTCAGATGACTTTGAAAAAGCTTTTCATTTAGTCATTCCAAACCCTAATAGGGAAAAGGTTCCTTTTTAATCAAGATTTTCACCTGGTCTTCTCCTGAAATGATGAGAATGATGGATACTTCTGCAGTCTTATTAATTCAGGTGAAAAATGAACATTTGGTAATTACATTTTGAGAATTACAGCTATATCCAAGTTTTATAAGGCTTGAAACTTACACAATGTTGGGGTCCACTTGAAGAATAAAAATATGAAATCACAAATGTTAGGTTAGGTACATTGTCTTGTAAGGGACTTCGGCAAAAAAGGGGCCTTGACCCTTAAGCTTCGTTACCTTCATGATAAATTCTCCTCTAGTAACGACTGACTGCTTGCTTTGCCCAAAATTGTGAAAGAAAAAAAGGGGGAGGGGCTAGAAAATGGAAAGAAAATCCTTGTTTAGCTGGCTTCCCAACTATCCCCTCAAGCCAGCCAGTGGTTTGGTCCTTTCTCCCGGTCCCAAGGTAAATGATGTCAGGTCTGAAATTGCACCGGATTCAACCGTGCCCCCCCCCCCCTTCTTCTTCCCCAATTTATTGCTTCAACAAATAGTTATTAAACAGTCACATACATTCACTAGGTGGAATAGACCCCAATTGCCTCCTAGCGTTAGCATTAGAATGGCTAGCTCTTCCATCTCTCCCTTAGGGATCATTCCCATTATGTGAAATGTGCAAAAATACGGCTGTTTCTTTCTATCCTAGCAGACAAATAGCCACTTCATTTGAGTTACAAGTCAGTCCTCCAGGACGGTAACCATCGGGGTGGCTTTGACTTGCCGAATCTTCCAGCAAATATAGGTTAAGTTATACGAAATGGGCGTGCCTGGATCTTACCAAGAAACCCCCTCATCCCCAAAGCTTACCAGTCAGAGGCACCCAGCCCCTTTCTTTACCCAACACTCACTCCTCCCCCTCCCATCTCGCCCCGTTTTCCGCCTGCAGCCCACCTCCCCGAGACTCTCCCCTCCCTCACTCCCTCTCTTGTCCTCCTTCCTGTGGGCCAGCCGCGCTTGGAGCTGCCCTGCTGCGCGGGGGACACGGCGACACCTCTAGGGTTGCTTCCGGGCACTCTCCAGCCAGAGGGTGGCTGGCCGGGAGCCTGGAGCTCGGCTGGGCCGGCGGCTCCGCGGTGGCGGCACCGAGGACGCGCGTGCCCGCCCCCTCGCTCCCTCCCTCTCTCCTTCCCTCCCTCCCTTGCGCCGGGCGCCCAGAGCTGCGGTCTGCCCAGGGCGGTGGCTTCTTGCGCCCCGCACAGCTCCTCTACGGAGGCCGCTCCCTCTTTCCCTCCTCTTTGCGTCATGTCGGGCAGTTGATAATTTTCCTTTCTTTCTTCCTTAAAAAAATCTCTCCTTTAGTCCTTCCCACCTTCCACCTCTCCATCCGTCTCCCAGGTTGATTTCTTTCCTTGTCTCTGGGCTTGCCCATGAGTCTCCTCGGGAACTACCGGAAAAAGACCAGCAACGATGGTTATGAATCCTTGCAGCTGGTGGACAGTAACGGGGACTTAAGTGCCGGGAGCGGCGGGGGTGGCGCCAAGCAGAGAGTGAATGTCGGGGCAGCGGCGTGGAGTCCCGCCCGGCAGCCTCCGGACCGCGCCAGCACCATGGACAGCTCAGGTAGCGCCGCCGGCGGGAGCGCGGGGCTGAACTGCGCGGGCCCTCCAGACGCGGCCCAGTCCACTGGCCCGAGGCCCCCCACCCCAGCCCTGGCCTGGGAGAGGCCCGGGTAGAGGCCAAGGCATCGAATACCACCAGGGTGTCGCGTCTCTAATTTCTCTAATCCAGGGAGCTAGGAAATGTTAATTCGGTCTGGAGGCCCAGTGACCATAGTGAGCGCCTCTTAATCTCGATAGGCTGCTGAATTCACCTGCTGGGAGCCGGGGAGAGGAGGGGTGAGTAGGGGAGGGGCAGGGGTGGCGCGAGGAGCGTCTGGGAAGGAGGGCGGGGAGAGGCAGCTGCTTTCACTATGCTGCTAGGGGAGCCGGAGAGAGGAAGGAGCTAGTGCTTTGATTGTTTTTGCAGCCTGGGGACGGTATTTATTCCAGTTGTTTTGGTAATGCTGATGTTATTTGCAATTGTGTAAAGCCCTACCCCCTCTCGATTCTGCTCTCTGCTAGGGTTGATGCTGTTTCTTGAGTTTTTACCTGGGATCTAGAGCTCTTACACAGCTTTCATGATTTGCACAATGAAGGTTTGTGTGTTGTTTTTTTCATGTTGTCTTTGAGCTTGTTTTTCTTTAGCCATTTGCATTGAGTGTATTAATATTTCATAAGCCTTTACATGTAAGGCAAGTGGAAATGCTTCCAAATTTTGTATCTGGGCTTGCAACCATCTCCTATAAAGCAATTTAGCAAGTTGAATTTTGCTCTTGAAAATGCTCTTTTAGTGACTCCCATAGCAAAACAGTCATTTAATATATCCATGTTGGACCAGGAGTTGTGTTATAGTTGTTTCCTTACTTTTTCAATGAACCAGGGTACAAGGCGTGTTCACATAGAGATAATTTACAACTGAAGTGTTCAGTGGTTTCTTCTACATTGATAACTTTAATACTGGACAACTGAGGACTCCAGAGGAAAGATTCATGTTCGGTTGTTTGGGAAGTAATGAAACCAAGCCGAATTTAATTCCTCCACTTTGCAAACAAATGCTTACTTCTTTAATTGTGTACACTCGCTGGGCTATCATTTTCTTTCTCATACCATGAATGGGATGAAATATTGTTAACAAATGTTCAACTGCTCTGGCCTGAAAATGAATTTTACCCATGCAAGCACTTACTGAAGTTAAATAAGGTATTGGTGGGATGTTCTCTCAGGATCATTTTAAATTGAAGCTAAGATGGGACTGATGGTTTCAAGAGCTTTGATATTGATGTTGTACATGGTTATTTGATTTATGTTTTTCCAAATCTGTGATATATCAAAATCCAAACCATCTTTAGACTAGATATTGTCTCCTTTAAATCTTAAATAAAGATTCATGTACTCCAAATGATGCCACTGTAATTCTTTCTGGAACATAGTGGACATGTAAACAAATAACTGAAATGAAAATGAACAGTATCCAAATGAGTATGGAGGAGCCCCACTTCAGGGAAATGAAAGAATTATGAAATTTTGTGTATTAAACTTTTATAAGGACTTTCACTTTTGGAATTAGAATTTTTTTTAAGTATGTTACATTCTAGAATAAATTCAACACGTATTTCCTGAGCTTGTTATTTGCCAGGTACTGTGCTAAGCACTGTGGGGAATTAGAGAGACACTTTTGGCCTCTAGGGGACAGTAACTCAAACACACAACCCCCTATGGTAAGTCCTATTTCTTTGAAGATTATCTTTTTTCAATAAATTAGAGTTTTTCAATAATTTGAAAGAAAAATGAATTGCCTTGATAAACTATTATAATGGGAAAGCATTTTATTAATAACTAGGGGCCCGGTGCACGAAATTTGTGCACTGGGGGAGGGGGTCCCTTAGCCCAGCCTGCCCCCTCTCACATACTGGGAGCCCTTAGGGGATGTCCTAGTGATGGCTTAGGCCCGCTCCCTGCTCCACTTGGGGAGTGGTCCTAAGCCATAGTCTAGCCTCCCTCTGCAGGAGGTGACCAGGCTGATCAGGGGAAGGCACAGCCCCATCACCCCTCTGCTGCAGCCACTGCCAGCCACCGCAGCTTCCAAGGTGTTTTCATCAACATGGACTCCAGTCCCTTAACCATGAAAAAATAACAACTTTCTTTAGGCATTTTCAAGATGTGTCTTTCATAGGATATGACATTTCTTTCTTTCTTTTTTCTGTCCTCACCTGAAGATATGTTTCCATTGATTTTTAGAGAATGTGGAAGAGAGAGGGAGAGACAGAGAGAAATATCAGTGTGAGAGGGACACTTTGATTGGTTGCCTCCTGTATGAGCCCTGACGTGGGTCCTGGCCCAGGAGGAGCCTGTAACCTAGGTACACGCCCTTGATCAGAATTGAACCCAGACCCTGCAGTCAGCAGGCCGAGGCTCTATCCACTGAGCCAAACCAGCTAGGGCAGGATATGACATTTCTTAGCCCCTCCATCAGCAGACCTTCGTTTTTTCCTCCAGGACTGTGGTGGTGGAAAAACCCTAGATCACCTTCTTGGATTCTTACAACCCAAGTTACCAAGAATACTGCAAGTGGTGGCGTACAGGGAGCTTAGCCAGTGCGCGGTCAGAAAAGGTGTTTAAGCTCAAACTGGTTTGGCTCAGTGAATAGAGCGTCCGGCTGCAGACTGAAGGGTCCCAGGTTTGATTCCTGTCAAGGGCATGTACCTTGGTTGGGGGCACATCCCCAGTGGGGAGTGTGCAGGAGGCAGCTGATCAATATTTCTTTCTCATCAATGTTTCTGACAGTCTATCCCTCTCCCCTCTTCTTTGTAAAAAATCAATAAAATATATGTTTAAAAAAAAAAGAAAAGAAAAGGTGTTTCCTCTGCAGCCCATGCACAGAGGATCCCCTGCATTGTGTCCACTGAGCTAGGGGTGTGTCCAGCCGGGGGCATGCCCCCAAGCCCAGAGGCCCCATGTTCGCTGTGTCCACTGGGCTGGGGGACATGGACCTGGGCTGGTTGGCCTGGCCACTTGCGCTTGGCACCCCGGCCGCTTGTCTCGGGACCCAGCCCACTTGGCGCCCCCGGCTGCTTGTCCTGGGACCCAGCCCGCTTGGTGTCTCAGGACCCGGGCTGCTTGGCATGGCCACTTGTGCTTGGCACCCCTGGCCGCTTGTCCTGGGACCCAGCCCACTTGGTGCCCCTGACCGCTTGTCCCGGGACCCAGCCCACTTGGCGCCCCTGGCTTCTTGTCCTGGACCCTGCCTGCTTGGTGTCCTGGGACCTGGGCCGCTTGGCGCAGGTGCATGCTCAAGCAGCCTTGGGGTAGAAACTTGTGGCGGAAGTTCCCACCCCATGGCCGCTTGTGCTTGGCGCCCCCAGCCGCTTGTCCCGGGACCCGGGTTGCTTGGTGCCGGCTCCCGTAGGCCACTCCTGGCCAGGGTGTTCTGGGACCCTGGCCACTCGGCCTACGTGCGGGCCTACAGGCTCGGAGCAGCCTGGGTCCCGAGGATGTTCCCAGGATCCATGCCGCTTGGCACCTACGCATTTAAATTAACCTGCCATCTTTGTCGGGTTAATTTGCATACTCACTCCTGATTGGCTGGTGGGCATTGCGGAGGGATGGTCAATTTGCATCTTTCTCTTTTATTATATAGGATATTATCATCTTTGAAATGCTATTATTAGGAGTTGATTCTTCAGCTTAATCAATCTAGCACTATGTGAAGAAGTTGTAGGAATTCATTCCCCTCCCCCCCCACCTCCACCCACCCTCCTTCTTAATTAGGGGAATGCTATGGCTTTGTTGTGGTACTACTCTGTATTTTATGACTATTTTGGTGCATATGTGCAATTGAGAATACAATTTAGGCGGATGCTGTTTGGTTTGGATGAGGGATTGGGCCCAGAAAATGGGGTTTCTCTCAGTGGGTAGCAAGTTTTATTTACTAGTGCAACTATATCTGTCTTGTCTAATGATAGTTCTTTCTTCTAAGATCCTCACTGAGTGGCCTTGTGCAGTGTAAGTTATCCATTTGTTTAAGATATTTAATTAAACTCATAGATCACTTCTAAAGTGGCAGTACTCTGCCCATTCATTCAACTGATTGTGCTGTGACATGCTGCATAAGATAGGTGGTTCATGGGCTTTTGCTTTAACAGAAATGTTTATGAATGGAGAAAATGTGTCAAGGCCTCGCTAGAGAATTTAAAGCTTAGTCTTAACAATACCTTATACGTGTAATAGATTGAACACTTGGACAGTTATCTCATTTCATTTACCCAGAATTCTAATAGGTAAAGTAAGCAGCATGTGAATGTGCCTAGGGATTTGGGATCGAACCTCTTCACTATTGTTACTAGCTATAAAATCTAGACAATATTTAAGCCTGTTCCCCATCATAAAAGGAGAATCATAGTAGAGCTTTACTTTGAAGCTTAAAACAACATAATATATTTGAAATTTTTCTTCCCATTGCTGTCTGTGCCCTTCCAATCAGATAAGGAGACATATTCTTAGAGATGACAGGAGACTTGTTCAAGGTAAAATAGCTACTTAGTGATAGCTAGATTGTTGAAAAAGAAACAATATTATCTACTTCGACTTTCCCATCTGTCTTTTTTTACGTGAAAGAGTGACAGATGTTCAGAGAAGTGTAATGACTTTCTAAGTCAACAGATTCTCAAGTGGCAGATTCCAGAGCGCCTGCCTAGCCATATGTAACTTGCGGAGCTCTCTACCTGTCCTGGCTCTCTTTATCTTTATTGGAATTATTCACTAGAAAAGATTGTCATTCAAAGGTAATCCTTTGATATCCCAATGGCACTTCAACGATCCCAGTTCATTAGCCCAGAAACCCCATATTTCTCTTGTGTGCCTTTCACCTTCTATGGAAAGTAGGATCCGGAAAAGCAGAACTCCCAATCTTAAGTCACTAAAGTGTTCCAACATTAGGCTTTACTTACCATATTCATAATGACAAGCTATAGAGCAGTAGTTCAATTAAAAGTATAAGGATAATGGCCCTGGCCGGGTGGCTCG